GGGGGGGGGGGGGGGGGGGGGGGGGGGGGGGGGGCGTACTCTTGTGTTTAGCATCCCTTTAATGATGAGGCCATTGATCACGGGTCCTCGAGAGGACGGAGCATTGTTCCCACAGGACCGATCATCGATGGCCAATCGTTCCTTCGTATTTTGCACGGGGTGGGGGGGGTGTACTCATAGTCGGGCATGCCGTAGTCGTTAGACCATTGACCTCGCATCCCTACAAAGCCGGGACGGAGCACGCCGGGTTCTCACCGGACCAGGCTCTCACATCACCAAGCGCGAAGCGCCGTGAGATATTCGGCGAGTCGCATGAATGGTGCGCTGCATCCTGCTATGGGTGTTCGGCATCTTGTGCCTACTTCCTTGTGTACGGATGATAGCTGCGTATGAGTTAATTTGTTTTCTGGTGCTTTCACTTCCAGAGACAGTTGTAAGCATTGTGTAACTGCCTCGAGGGTGCTTGACCATTTTATCACAACGTGGTGCGATCATCCCCCTTGCGCGGAGTGAGGGTTCTTGACCCCGCACAACATGATCCACTCGACCACCATTATGGTTACCTCCAAAAAAAAACAGAGGTAAAAAAAGAAGCGGTAACCTAGTTGCCGAGTTGACGAAGTGAATTGGCTTGTTTTACAACGTCGGTGTCAAGCGACGAAAACCCAATCCCGATGGCAAACACCGAGGGGAGGGGACGCACGGGGGGGGGGAGGAACGCATGCCTTCGTCGTTAGATCATTGACCTCGCGATGCCGGGCACAGGAGCGATACGCCAGGTTTTCGCCCGCATAGACTGCGTGTCACAAGGATTAACGGCAGTCGTCTTGAGGTTTGCTGTCGCCAGGGATGCGACAGGTGAATGGAGCCGTAGGGTTGTCGGGGTCGAGAATGTGGGAGGAGGGAATCGTCCACGAGACAAGAGGTTGGGGGGGAAAAGCGACCGTCCTTGAAGGCCGTCTCCACACGACAAGTATCTACTGCAGATAGGGGATGGACTTGTGCACAGTGTGTAGCCTCTTGTCCAGGAGGGCTGCCGCGAAAATCCACTCGCCATCGTACGTTGCGCTTCGGCGTGTACTTGGAGCATCCTCTTTGGCACAACACACATAGACGAACGTTTTCCCTTGCCCCGCCACCGCCCCCTTCCTCTTTCTCTCTCTCCCTCTTTCGCTCCTCCCGTGCTCGTGCCAATCACCTCTTCTCTTACTTGTGTACCTGTTTCCGTCAACCTTCTACGGCAAGCCCAGGTGGAGAGGAGCTGGTCTCGTACAAAACGCTGAACGAGGAGGCGGAGGCCGTGCCCATCGGCTGCGAGGGGCTGGTGCGTACCACTCTTTTGGTGTTGTTTTTTTTGCTTATCTTGGTTCACATTTTTGTGTTCTGTTGATTCTCTCTTTGTGTTCTTTTGATGGTGCTCCTTTGGATGCTTTTAGTATGTTTTTGGTGATCTTCTGTGTGTGCTTTCGATGATCTTTTGTGACGAACGAGTGCAGTCATGAGCAGGGTTTGTATTCTAGCGTACGTTCGTTTCCTCGTACTCTCTTGAACGTGCCGTGACACGGTGTCGTTGCTCCTCGCACCACAATCAACACGTCCATTACCACCGCTGTCCATCCACGACCGTTTCCGACCTGCTGCTTGGTACAAGCTCCCCCCCCCCCCCCCCNCCCCCCCTCGTCGTGTTCCAACAAGGTGTGCTTGGATCACTTCCAGGGAAACCGCACCCCGTACACTGACCCGCTTTCGAGGGGGGCCCTCGCCGGCCTGACCCTCAAGCACGGTACGCTGGGGACGTACGCTGTTGGCTCTGCATCGCTTCGTTTTCTCGCTGCCGTGCTGTCTTTCGTTTTTTTTTTTTTTGACATAGTATACACAATTCGAACACGAAACACATTGCCAGGCGGTACGCAGTAGTAGGCAGGCGATGGATGGTGGCGTGATCTACATGATTGTTGCAGTTAGTTCTTGAAGGCGTCACGATGGTGATTTGAAGGTGTGTTTGCGCAGCAAGACATGGTGGTACGCACACCGATGGGATTGTAGTTTTTTTTTGTTTTGGCTTTTTTTTTGGACCCGGTGGTGTCAGAATGAGGACCACTGTGTATGGGCGAGAGTGAGTTGAGGCAGAAGACTCGCGGATGCACTCACCTTCTGCACGCTTGCACCCTGGTTAGCCCTTTCCAGTCGCGACGGGGCCGGCGGCACGGTGGGCAGGACACGGCTCGAGCCCTGTCCGGACCACCGGTCACCGCCGTTGGCGTGAGCTCAGGGTTCTCGATGTTCTCTCTCCACGATGAAGTTTGTGCTTGAGAGCGAGATTCTTACGGTCTCGTGTTGTGTTTGCATATCCCCTTTTTTTGTTTGCATCGACCGCACCAACCGACTGGCCAATGACACGGCGTCAGTCTCAGTGTGGCTTAAAAAACGGAAAACGCTTCCGCCATCCTCTTTTTTTCTTAGGGAGAGGACACATATTCCGCGGGTTGATCGAGTCGGTGTGCCTCGGGACCGAGCTGGTGTTCGAGGCGATGCGAAAGGCGGGGTACACGCCTTCCTCCGTGGCGGTCGCGGGGGGTGCGACAAATTCCCGTCTGTGGCTTCAGGTATAAGGGGCGGGATGAGGAAGCGCATGTTGTTGCGATTTTGTGCTGCTGCTGCTGCTGCTGCTGCTGCTGCTGCTGCTGCTGCTGCTGCTGCTGATGCTGCTGATGTTGGTGCTGATGCTGATGTTGATGCTGCTGATGTTGACGCTGATGCTGATAGGTTTAGGCTTGGCGTTAGCGTTTGCCCTCGCCGCCGTCGTGAATGTATGTCATAGTGATGTTGACGGTGATGGTGCCGCCTTTGTCGCCGTTGTCTCCCGCAGTCAGTGTACTCGAGGTACTTCAGTCTCCTCCCACACCCCAAGACGGAAATACCAATGACGTTGAATATGACAAGATGTGACAGGGCTAGTCTGGATCGGCAAAAAAAACGGCATACATATCGCCCCGTCCCGGCATTGTAGGGATGGAAGGTCAATGGTCATGCCCACTACCGCATGCGTTGGCATCAGTACAACCGGTCTACGTTCGACTTTTCTCTCGCACCGGTGGCCCCAGACACACGCGGACGTGAGCAACGTCCCCATGAAGGTTACCAGGGAGAGGGAGGCGTGTTTGCTGGGCTCAGCGATCCTCGCCGCCGTCGGGGGGGGGCTGTTTCCGGACATCCCCTCCGCCGCCCGTGCCATGGTTCACGTCGAGGGAACAGTGGTGAGTTTTTGGTTGCTATTTTTTTTTTTTCTCGTCAGCCGTCGAAAGAACGCCGCCGAAAAAGGGTTCGCCAACGGGCTTTTGTGCTATTCGGGACGAAGACAAGAGGGCAATGTTGTAAAACTCGCGCACTTCGGAGACGTTGTGGGTGTTTTTGTTGTTTTGGTCGTTGTTCGTTCCACGCTTATTCTCGCATTGAAGAATTTGACCACCGCCTTGCATGGACACCGACGTGGCATGTACACCCGGGAGATGGCGCATGCTTCCATATGCACAACCACGCCTCGCATCGCTTCCTTGCGTACTTGACAAATCCCGGAGCAACTAAAAAGTTGGCGGTGGAAGCACGTCCCCCTTTTTTCGACGACCATCTGGATGCTGCTGGATCGAAATTCCGGGTGGGAGACTGACCCGCCGCGGTACGCTACTATCCATTATTTCCTTCGCCCATCTTTATCACAGTAGAAAGGAACGATTGGCCATCGGTGATCGGTCCTGTGGGAACAATGCTCCGTCCTCTCCAGGGCGCGTGGTCAATGGTCCAACCGCTAAGGCATGCAAAACATAAGAGTACGCCCCCCCCCCGTCCTTGTCACAGAAAGGAGCGCGGAAGCACGCAGTGATGCGTGTCGACCAGTTCCAGCTCATCCCATCCCCGAATGACCCCCGCAACCCGTCTTCCCCTTGTGTATGCGTGTGGATTGATTCCCTTGGCGGCGCACAACGGCGGCGAAAACAACAAGATGCCGAATCCCGAGGCGCACGCCAAGTATAAGCGGGTGCTGGAGCGGTATCGTGCGGTGTACCCCGCGCTCAAGCCCGTCTTCCGCGACCAGGTTCGGCGCGTGGCAGGCTGGTCTTTGTGTGTGTACCCTCTGTCTTGTCGAAGGAGAAGCATGTCTATTCCCTCCATCGTCGAGCTAGAATGAGTATCTGTGCCCTTTCTCATGTCGAAGGAGCAAGCGTACCTGTACCCCCTTCGGGAAAGGGTGTCTGTACCCTCGCTTGTCGAAGGAGAAAGCCGCGTATTCGCACCCTCTACTGTCGGAAGGAAGAAAATCGGGCATCATGTAGACACCCCGTTGTTGATGCGTGGATGTAGACATCTCATCCTCAAGCTCCGGCTCCTCGATGGTCGCCATGCGGCAGTGGCCAGGCGCCCGTGGTTCTTGAGCTTTGCTTGTTCGCAATCGCATGTTGTCAAGGGAGGCAACGAGGACGTTGCGCGCTTCTATGTAGGTGCCTTCGCCTTTGTGCTGATTTTCTTGTTCGTTTCGAATTGCTTTTCTTGTCTTATCACCTCGTTCAAAATATCTCAATGATCTTTTTCCGTTTTAGTTTTCTCTTCCCTCTTGTGGTGCCGTCAGGGAGCAGGGGCCCCGCCGACGACCGCAGCAGGGGGGGTGGATGAGTCTGGCGGTGGCGGTGCGGCTGCGGCGGAAGGGGAGACGGGGGCGGCGGTGGTAGGGCTGGTGAACGCGTCCATTCTTGCGGCGGATATGGCAGACCTGTCGGGAGAGGTAGAGAGGGTGATGGCGGCGGGGGCGGACTGGATTCACGTGGATGTCGTCGACAACGTGTTCGCAAAGGTACCCTGTAGGAGGCATCTGCAGCGGTTAGTTAATAGTGTTCGATCAGGTCGTGCCTGCTGGTGGTGGTGTTGTTGCCCGCGCATTGGTCGTGTCGATGACCGCGTTGTTTCGTCGCTGATGCTGCTACTGCCGCTTTGTACCGTGCGTTGTGGTGTTTGTGTTGTGCTCCTCCCGACGTGTATGCCAACAGAAGGCGTAGTTTCCCGTGAAATGAACGAGCCAGAGGGGGGGGGAGAAAGAGACATACAGACATCGAGAGCGAGAGAGAAAGAGACATACAGACATCGAGAGCGAGAGAGAAAGAGACATACAGACATCGAGAGCGAGAGAGAAAGAGCGAAGCGAGGAAGCCTGAGACTGAATTCTAAAGAGAGCGTCGCCTCAAATCACCAGCCGCAATTCANCCCCCGACAGGTGCTAACATTTGGGCCTCCCGTCGTCGCGAGCCTTCGCCGTCGACACCCCTCGGTCTTCCTGGACGTGCATCTGGCCGTCGAGAACCCGCACGAGTACGTTGACGCGCTCAAGGACGCCGGGACTAGCCAGGTCCTGTTTCACCCCGAGGCCGTAGCCGAGGGTGGCGACATGGATGCTGCGAGCTTGGTGAGCGGGGGGGGGGGGG